ATCCCCAAAAAGGAGATGCTCACAGGGATTAAGGGGCTACTTCAACTTTCCTTTTATGGTTGCTGCAGTTACTGTTAACAGGCTATGCCGCTATTGTTAAGAAGGCACTTTTTCAGGTTGTATTTTCATGAATTAAGATATTTCAATATTTGACCCAACATAGCCTCCCAAGGAGGACTACTCATTCGAAAATTGGGTTTCCAGTTCCTGTTTTGTCATAACTAGCTATGTGACCGTGGGCGAGTCATTTTATCTCTGAGTTTCCTTCTTTCTCTGCCTTTTATGTCACTGTTTGGTGTTGTGTTACAGTGCTTAGGTCAAAATCTGAAAAAGTGGCAGCAGTTAATATTGACCCATTCTCGTTGGATAAATGTCAGTGATGATTCCTTATAAAATTGAAAATTGGAATTCATATTTAAAATGAATGATTACTGCTTCGAAAGCCTTAAACACCTTTGCTTTTTAGTTTCTTTCAAAGTTGTATGTAATGAGCAAATTGTATGTAATGTAGTATTTCTTCCTCCGTAGAATTACTGAGAATCTAGGGTTCATGTCTGTTAGAGTTGAAAAAAAGTAACACAGCCAGATTAACATTCATTAGAGTGAATCATAGCTGCTTGGTAATCAGAGACAAGGGATTTTATTAAAGGTAATTCTGCATAACTTTTTTTTTTCTGATTAGGTTTCACAATCTTATTTTTCTGTTGTGGCAGATATATTTATATAAATACATATTTCTATTTGCCTACATGTAATGTTAACGTAAAAAAAAAAATTTAAACCTGTAAAGAATTTTTGTGAGTTTACTTGAGCCAAACTGTTGACAATTGCCAGGAAGCAGAATCTCAACGTAATGGGATTATGCTCCGGAGCAGGGCAGTTTTTTTATCTTGTTATATCCATTACAATCAAAAGAGGGGATGTAAGTGAGTGACATGAACTCCATTGGTGATAGATTAGGGAGGCGGCAGAAAGCAAAGCAGGAGACCTCTGGGATGGGATTCTTTTACTGAGGTTGGTGCGGGATAGTTAACAGTCAACAGTTAACAACAATGAGGGGTTTGTGGTCTCTGCAGAGCGGTGCCTGTGCTTTGAGGGGTCCAGAAAAAGGGAAATTACTTTGACACTCCATTGATACGTTATTGTAGATGCAAAAAGCAATAGGCTCAGTTTAGGTAAAGATTGACCTTTGTCGGGGAAGATAACCAGCCCAGGATGTGACTACCCACCATAACTGCTTTTAGTTAAAGTTTTAATTTCAGGCCGTCCTTTATGGTTACTTCAGGTCTTTATGGTTACTTCAGGTCTTTGAGTTTAGGAGACTGCCATGCAGGCCTTCCCTGAGCTTGTTAGGTTAGCATGTGGCCCCTTTTTTGTCCACAGTACTTACAGTTTGTGTGTGTGTGTATATATAATTTTTTTAAAATGTATATTTTGCAGTGGTGGTTCTCTCTCTCTCTCTCAAGAGAGAGAGAGAGAGAGAGAGAGAGAGAACCATAAGGAAGCCAGGGACTAAATCTATCCAGAAGAAGGGAAAAACTGTAAGATAAATATATTGGGATTTTTAATAAAACCAATGGGTTCCGAAAATAGCTCTAATAAGAAGAAAGTGACCAAAACTGGTTTGGAAAGTATTATGATTTTAAACTGGTTAACAGGAAAGCACTACCACTTAAAAAATAATCATTTTGGCCCTGGCTGGTTCCCTCAGTGGATAGAGCATCAGCCTGTGGACTGAAGGGTCCCGGGTTCAATTCTGGTCAAGGGCACATGCCTGGGTTGCGGGCTTGATCCCCAGTGGGTTCGTGCAGGAGGCAGCCGATCAATGATTCTCTCTCATCATTGATGTTTCTCTCTTTCTCTCTCTCTCTCTTCCTCTCTGAAATCAATTAAGATATATTAAAAACAATAATAATCATTTTTACTACAGTTGTAAATTTGGTCATTTCTAAGTAATTTTTAACCCTTATTTTTGAGCAGTAAGTATTGAAAATAGATTTGCCATGAAGGACTTTATATCATACTCTGAATTTCTCAAATATGAATTAGAACCTTATATTGAAATCACATTTTTCCCTTGCAGTCTCACACCATTTTGCTGGTACAGCCTACCAAGAGACCAGAAGGAAGAACTTACGCTGATTATGAATCAGTGAATGAGTGCATGGAAGGTGAGTTTAAACACTAATCAAGGGGTAGAAATCATTTTCCCCTGATATTCACTATTAGAATATGTCTCATTTAGGAATTGGGTTTGTTTTGTCCTCCAGATTTCTTGGATTCTTCATTTGAGCAGCAGAAATAGATATTTAGGGATGTTGTTAGAAATAAAAATTACCTCAGAGAATAAAGGCAGATGGAACCAAATCAGTGCAATTTGTTGTGTATTTGATAAGCTTATACTACTGCAGTGATAGCGAACCTATGACACGTGTGTCAGAGGTGACACGTGAACTCATTTTTTTGGTTGATTTTTGTTAAATGGCATTTAAATATATAAAATAAATATCAAAAATATAAATTTTTGTTTTACTATGGTTGCAAATATCAAAAAATTTCTATATGTGACACAGCACCAGAGTTAAGTTAGGGTTTTTCAAAATGCTGACACGCCGAGCTCAAAAGGTTTGCCATCACTGTACTACTGTGAAGAGTAGTAGTAGTTAGCCCTTAGTGTTTCTTTACTTGGTAAACCATTAGATGAGAGCCTGTAGATTACAGTCACGAATTTTCATTCTTATATTTAATCTACACTAATAAAAGAGAAACATGGTAATTAGTGTACGACCGCTACCCTTCCCATTGGCTAATCAGGGAGATATGCAAATTAACTGTCAGCCAAGATGGCGGCCAGCAGCCAGGCAGCTGATGCGAACAGGGAGGCTTGCTTCCTGCAGTGAAGGAGGACTCCAACGTTCCCCGCCTGCCTTGCCGGCCTCTGAGCTTCAGTTGGAAACATTGTAACATTTATAGAAGATAAACAAAACCCCAGAAACCTCCTGTCAGTCAGCCGGGATCTCAGAGCTGGAGTCGCAACATTGTTTCGAATACAGAAAACAAAGGCCAGAAACCTGCTTTCAGCAGCCGAGCCTCAGAGAGAAAGCCGGCTCTCAGCTCCAGTGACAGCCATAGAAGGTAAATAAATGCCAGAATAAAAAAAAAAAGAAAAAAAGGAGAGGTTTGGAGCTTCAGTCGCCCGCCAGCCTGAAAACAGCCCTCAGCCCTTCACCCAGACTGGCCAGGCACCCCAGTGGGGACCCCCACCCTGAAGCAACAAGATGGCGGCTAATTTGCATACTGAAGGCAGGCGGCAGCAGGCAAGGCTGTCTGCGGTCTGGGACCCAGATCTGTGACCCTGCCAGGCGGGGGGCACCGCGGGAGGCTGTCCGCAGTCCAGGACCCGGATCTGTGACCCTGCCAGGCGGGGAGCAGTGCTTGAGGCTGTCTGCGGTC